AGGTATATCCGGAGCATCAGGAGATATATATATATATATATATATATATAACGGTAAATTCTGTTCCAGGAATCGGGCAGGTGATGGTGAGGGGCTGAGAATCCAATGATGGTATGATATGATATTCCAGTGGATGCATCACAGTCCGGTGGGATGGGGGGGAGGAGGGTAGAAATGATCATTACCTGTTTTGTTTTGTTTTTTAAAAAAAAAAACCCCCCCGTTGGTTCCACTAGAAATTACTCGTGTAACATGGTATCCGGGGGGGGGGATTCCAGTGCTAGGGAAGACAAATTGGGGTGAGATTCTGTAAGCATCAAAGGACACCACAAAGATACCAAGCGCAGCTAGCCATGATACAGTACACAGGAAGCAAACAGTCAAACTTTTAACCCCCAAAGTATATTACATACAACCTGACTTCTAGTTCCATCCGCACGCCACCCAAATCCCCTAGGAGAGCAAGTCAAAGTCATCCACTGTATCCCTATACTTCATGATACTCCTCTTAATCTTTGATGAATCCACCCACGTAACAAAGTCCTCCATATTCCTACCATACCCCAAATTAGCACGGGTCCAAAAAAAAAAAGTGTATCAAACACACCTAGTAACCAAATACGCCGGATCAACCACAACCTCCGGCCCAACCCTGACATGCCCCTGCTCCACAAACCTCACACCAGTGGGCACAGTCTCGCACATCCTCATCCTCGTCATCACAACCGGCAGCCTCCTACGACAGAAAGCGGCGACGGTGACCTTATTCTCCACGTCGCTCATCTTGGCCCCCTGCGGCAATATCCCCATCGCGTGCAGCTTCTCCAACAGCAGCGTTTCGTGCTTTCGACGGACGGGGTCGGAGGGGTCTAGCAGCGCAAGCTTGTGCGCTAGCTGGCGTACGCTTCCGCATATCCTGTTGTACTTTGTGTAGGTGTTTGGGTCCTGGATGTGGTATCGGCGCATGACATCGTGGGCGCGGTGGGAGGAGTCGGACTTCCAGGTTAGGAAGTCGACTTTTCGGAGGAGCCTGGCGGCGGGGTCGGTTAGTTACCACGAATTGTGGAGGTGGGGAGCATGGAAGGGGGGGAGGGGGATACTTTTGTTCGTGGTGCTTGAGTTTGCGGACCATTTTTTGGTACTGGTTGAGGTTGTAATCGATAGTAGAGCTTCTTTCTGTTGGGCGATGCGTTGGTGGAGGTCGAGATTGAGTGAGGCTCAATTGGAAGGTTTCCAAATTAGAGATCGCCAAGACTTCTTTCACAGTCCGTGTTTATTCACCAACAATCACTCGGTTTGGACTCTCTAGCATGTTTACCCAATATCACCGCCAAGATCTCGAATTGCGAATCAAGCATTTCAGCAAGGATTAAAACCATCATAACATTATTCCCAACACCTTATTATTATCTATTATAGTATCACACATCCCTTCCTAAAGATGGCCCAAATCCCATGACCAACATGGCCTGATAAATCAGCTTCTTGCGGAGAAATCGGAGATCCCACCCTCAACCCCCACCGTATACTAGTGCTGCAGGAATCAGAGAGGGAATGGTGTATTCAGCGGGGTATCATGGCTGTGACCACACTACTAGCGGGAACCAAGAGCGCTGGAAGGGGCCTTCCCGATGTGAACTTTGTGCTCGAGTTGGCGGATATGGAAGGGATCGGGGAGGCCGGGGAGGCCGGGGAGAAGGAGCATTATAGGGTGTATTGGCTCAAGGAGGGTGGGGAAGAAGGGGCTGCTGCTTGGCTGGAGGAATCCATCCTGTGCCACCTTTTTTCCTTCATGGTCCACTCCGTCCCAGACCGCCGTGCGAGTGCCCGGCTCCAAACTCGCTAGCACAGAGACCCCAAGGTTTACCAAAGTAGTCTATAGTTGATTTTCAAGGGCCCTAACCAAGTGTTGTGTAGACTGCAATTGTACCTACATACACAAATGTGTTTTTACGTTCACATGTGTAATCGTGCTCCGCTTTCCTTATAGCGGAACTTTTTTCATTTCTATCCTTCAGACAATTAATCAACAATGTCTTCCCCCAAATTTCCTTACTCCTCAAAACACAAACCGCAACATTATATCGACAATTCACGGTTACTGTCTGGTCACCCAGGCATGACTCGATCGTGTCCACACACAAAGGATCTCAAACATTCCTCCATCCGATTCTATCATTATTCCCCATCTCCCCCCGACCCGAGTGATGAAAAAGAAAAAGAAAAGAAAAGAAACCCCAAGAAAAAAGAAAAAAATGTGCCCTATATAAACAGTCTCTTAGATAGAAAAAAGGGGGGGAACAAAAGAACAGAAAACAAAAAAGTATAAAATGAATTCAACCTCCAAACCCACCCCCGTTTCCATTCCCCTTGCCAGGATCCAGCAGCAATTTCGGCTTAATATAACCCTCGTCAATCTTCCTGAACCATTCGGCCTGGTCGTCCGAGCCGCCAAACATGCCGGCCAACTGACCTAACGCTCCGGAGGCTGTTATCCCCCCTCCTCCGTTACCACTGCTATTGTCGCCGTGCTGTGCATGGTGGGAGCTACCACTTCCCTCACCGTTCCCCACGTTATGACTGCCGCCTCTTGTCATGGCGATGTTCTTCTGCCGAGGGTTCATGGGTGGAAGATCTTCTTCGTCGTCGTCGTCGTCGTCGTCCATAAAGGCGCTGTCGTTGCCGCCACTTCCACCTGGCGCGCCGAATATATCCTGTTCCGGGCGATTTCGCTGACTGTTTCTCCGTCCGCTCATGCCAGAGTTCGGCCTGTCTGGGGGGGAGGGCGAGTTTCCGTAGATTCCTCCTGTGGAGATGGCGCCGCCGTCTCTGTCTTCCCTGGGAACGACGGACAGCGGGACCCCCACCGGGCCCATTCCGCCCCGGGAGCTCTTGTAATAGGCGCCAACGTTCTCAATGTCGAATTCGTCATCGCTGTCAATTTCCTCGACCACGCCGGTTCGGATTCCAAGGATTTCTAGCATTCTCGCGGTTGTACCGCCAAAAACAATGACCGTGAGGACCACTACTACAAGCACGGTTGCTCTGAGGGAATTGCCGTTTTCTCCGGTTATGCCAGCGGCGAGGGCGACACCTACGGCTCCGCGAAGACCAGCCCAGAACAACATAGCCTGGTAGCTGTGGGGAAGCTCATCTGCTACGGTACGCCCCCGTGCTTGTGCACGGTAACGGATGACAAAGTTGATGAGTCTAGAAAGCGGGAAAACGGCTGCCCAACGAGCCACGCAGATTCCGATAACAGTCACTATAATGAACGCGGGGCGGAAGACAAGCTGTGTCTCTGTGAAAAGCGACAGCCCAAGGTAGATAAAGATGAAATTCTCGGAAAGTTGCGCCAGGACCTGAAAGAGGTACTTTGTAGTTAGCTGGGTGCGACGAGACATGTTATAATATGCGTAGTGCTTAAGTGTGATCCCGCAAAATAGCAGAGACACAATCCCTATATCCGCCCCCCCGTCAGTCTCACCCCAACCCTGTTAAACCAGAATGTGGCTCTCACCGGACATGTGACACCCATTGGAGAAAAGATATGAGGCGTAAGCCACCAAAAGGATAAGGCAGCTCTCAATCTTCGGAAATCTCCGTATATAGGTATGCTTCAAAAGCAGTGCCGTTCCAATCCCGATAAATACGCCAATCATCAAACTAACGGTAAACACCAGGAAGAAAATCCCAATACCCTTGAACAAGCTCCCAACACTAGCAGGTCCCTTATTCTCCCCGTGAAATCGCTGCGCGGTCTCGAACATGACGATAGCCACCGCATCATTGAGGATACTCTCTCCGAAGATTACCGTGTAAAGCTTCGGGTCCACTTTGTAGGTATTGAAGATGGCGAGGATGGTGACAGGATCAGTAGCGGAAAGCGTCGCGCCGACACCGATAGCCTCAACGAACGAGATCTCGAGCGCTTCGAAGGGTCCATAGGACCAGATGAACAATATAACCCTAGAACATCCCGACTCCCACTCAGCTTTCCCATAACCACCGTTGCAGCGCGAGAGGGGGGGAGGTTGAGTATCGCAGCATACCCAAGGACTACCGCCGAAATAAAGGTCCCAGCAAAGGCAAACGTCAATATAGAACCTATATTCCGAAAAAAATTCGCCTGCGCCATAATCATCATCCTCATCATCAGCACCCATCCCCATCACCCCCGTTAGAAGTGGAGGGGGGGAAATATACCTGATGAAGCTCATACCCCGAATTCAAAATAATGGGCGGTAGCAGCACATTGAAGAAAATCTGATAATCAAACTTAACCAAGTTTTGCAAATGCTCAGACGAGGTAAGCCTAATAATCAACCCCACAAACATCCCTATCCGGAAAACCCCCACCCCTCCATTAGTTCCACCAGTTCGCTCCCGAAGGGGGGGGGGGGTGGAGCGGAAGCAACTCACCAGCAAAAATCGAGATAACGGTCTCATGCACAGCCTGAATCTTCTTAAGCTGCAAATAGTAACTACAAAACAGCGCCAGTATCAACAATGTGACCTGGATGAAGAGGGCCCACGAAGAGATGATTTCGGATTCGCCGGGGTCCGTGACGTCTACTCCATCCAAGTCAGCCATCACCACCCATTTCCCTCCGCCCCCGACTCGAAGAGACATACCACTATCATCGGGATCTTCAGCATCGCGTCCTAACCGACAACCGCACAGAATCAGCTTAATCCAACTTCCGACCACGTTTCACTTATGCCAGAGATAGGAAGGAGCAGGCATACTTAACAACGCGAACAGCATCTCTGATGCCATCCCTCTCAAGCGTCGTAAAAATCAATTTCCAAGTCTGTTTTGTTCCGTCTCTCAAGACCAGCTCCGGTATTTAGCGAGTGAGTAACCGCAGCAGAGGGAAAGGGAGAATGAGTAGGGTGGCACGAGCAGATAGCGCGCACGATACGATAGAGTGGGGTGGGGAAGAGAAAGAATGAGGGAGGGGGGGGGGGTTCGAGAGTTTGAGATGAAGTGTGCCGGCCGCTAACTACGACCTAAGCTTGTCCCTAACTTATTGCGCTGGGGCCACATGGATGGTGACCGCTTTTTGCTTTTTTGCTTTTCCTATTTTCCCTTTTTTTTGCTTTTCTTTTCCCCGGAGAGTGACTACCGCAATGGGAGGGAGAGGAAGGGGCGAGGTGAGAGTGAGAGCCGCGTTCCTGCGCGCTTACCGTCTGGATTCGGGTTGACAGAATCCTCTTTCGGGCTGGTAACGTGCACGTCTTGGCAGGCAGACAGACGGGTGTGGACGGAAGGTACGGGCGGGCACTACCGAGAGATCGCGGCCCTCTCGGGGAGAATAAATCTGCAGCACAAAGCTTTGAAAGGCCGCAATTACGCTGAAATGAAGTATGGATGTCGCAAAGTCACGTAGTCCGAGCCCGAGCGAACCCGTGCAAGACTGGGGTGTAATACTCCATGGAAGAGGTCGGCGAGCGAGAAGGACACCTATCCTTATCCACATCCCCCAGGATACACAGCCGCTCACTCACACCCTCCTTACCCTATGTAACAAAATTGGGGTCATGAACAGTTGGAAAAAAAAACCAGGACAAATATGATAATTATGAAGGTATGATAATTATGAATTAGACAGTACAATTAGGGTAAACTTCAATAGCATAAAACGGAGGGTAAAGACCCCCAGCCGTGGTCTCGTTCAGCCGATAACCCCATTAAACACACACACAAGTACTGTACTCGTACAGTACACGAACGCATGCATGCAAAAAACAGCTAGAAATAAAAAAACCACCCCGTCCGATCCAGACAAGGGGAACCCCATCCCCCATAAAAACCAACACTCCTCCTCAAGCCTCACACCTCCCCCTCCCCCTTGCCCCTCAACATCTCGACAACCTCCCCGACGCCCCACTTCATAACCGCGATCCCCAGCGGCGTCCTCCCACAGCAGTCCCTAACGCCAAGAACACTTTTACCATTCTCCCCCTCGAGTAAAACCCTCACGATGTCGGCGCCGCCGTGCGCGACAGCGAGGTGGAGCGCAGTGTACATGCAGTAGCCAGGGTGCGCGACGTCTGCGACGCCGTTCGCGAGCAGGAGTCGTATGAGGCGGACATCGTTTCGGAGGACTGCCCAGTGCAGCAGCGGCATGCCGCCGGCCTGCGCCGTTTGGTTCGCGGCCGAGTTTAGTAGGGGGGTCAGCACGTTCGCCAGGCGGATGTTGACGCGCAGAAGGCGCGATTGGTACTTTGGCGGGAGGAGTTCGGCGATTGTGAGGAGGAGTTCGGGGGGGAGGGTTAGGAGGGGGGGTGTTTCCGGCGGTGGTGGCGGCGGCGGCGGCGAGCGGTGTTGTTTGGCCATCGTAGTGGGTTATTTGGTGTCCGGTGAAGGAGGAGGAGCAGTGCGGTAGGACCCTTATAGGGGAGTCGTGGAACGGGGACGCAGCCTCGTAAGGAGGGGAGTGGCTGGGTGTCGGGAGATTTTATAATAATCATCTCGCGCCCTCAAATCTCCCGGGTGAGACACAGGTGATGAGACTTGCAGTGCCCTTGCGCACCGTCGTTGTTGAGCGGAGGGAAACCGGAGGTTGGGTTTCGTCCTGGGGATGAGATAAGCCCCTTTTTCCGATGGTCTTAAAGGCCCTAGCTTCGGAAGGTCAATGCTCGTCATCCTGCAAGATAATCCGCGATCATCACCCATCACTCGAGTATTCTCGTTGACCCGTCCGGGGGACCCGCCTCGGCTTGCCAAGGATGCACGATCGGCCAACTCGTCGGCACATTCACTGCGGGCACGGCAACAACGTTCGGACAAACTAATTCAATGGTGATGAAACATACAAAAGCCGGCCCCCATCATTCTCCACCCTAATAAAAAAAAGAGAAACCCAGACTAAAAAAAGCTACATACCAAGTAGACCACACACCTCTACCTTTTTTTTTGGCCCTAGGGGCACAACAAGGAAAACCTCTAATCATGCTCTCGGATAGCGTCCAAACACAAAGTAGCGAGGAAAGCGAAGAAATAATAGCCGAAAGCGAGGGCGGGGGGGTAGGGGTGAAGTACGAGATAGGGGATAAGCGGCATTCCAAACACTAACCATGCGTCCTGAAAAAACCCCTAGAAATAATGTGAATGCCCAATGTGACAGCCCAACAGGAGCGGGAATCCTAGGCCAAGGGAAAATTGAACTAAATATGAATAGAATCGATGAGGTTGAATGTGGGAAAATGTGAAAATAAAACAAATCTTAGAAAAGAAAAAAAGGAAAAAGAAAAAAAACTCCAGCCAATATCTAAACTTCATCTCCCTCATCCAACCTTCTATAGTTTCCCCCAGACTCGTATTCAGATTTTGCGAAAAATCCGCCAAACCATCCAGCAACTCCTTGGTTATTCTTTGATCGGCTCGCTGATCCCGACCTCTTTGAATCGGCGGTCTCGAAGTCGAATGAAGGAGCCGGGCTGCCACCGCGACTGGGGTGAAGGAGTGATTGTCGCGCGGTGGTGGGTGTTGGTGCAACGGTTTGGTCGCCAAAGATAGCGTCCATATCCTCGAGTTGGACGCCCTTGGTTTCTGGATAAACAAAGTATACTATCCACAGAATCAGCCATGCTCCGGTCGCCAGGAAAACAGTAAATTGTCAGATCAACGTACCGAGAACGAAACTAACAGCGCAGAAGAAGGCATGCACCAGGTAAAGGCGCCATTTGATCCAATCCTGTAGAATTGGTGTCATCTCTCCCACTAGCCAGTTGAATGCCCAGTTGGTCGCAGTCGAAAGTGAAGCTCCCTTGGCCCTGATGCTGAGGGGCATGATCTCCGGGGGGTACAACCTACTCGCAATCAGAATCAAAGATAACCAGAGGGGCGATCTCAAAACCTACCATGGGACAGGTCCCCATGAGTATCCGAAAAACGCGTTGTAAATAACGACAAATATGACCACCATCCTCGGGGTATAATGGACATCAATGTAAATGAAGTACGAAATCGCCGAGAGTGCGAGGGACATGACGATGGCTCCGGAGAGCAGGATAGGGCGACGGCCCCACTTGTCCATAAGATACCATGGGGGAATAGTGCTGAGGACATAGACGATTCCGTTGATCCCGGTCATAAGAATAGCATCGCGGCCGACCCATCCGGCTTGCTCGAAAACCATGGGAGCCTATCCTCGTTAGGACCGAAGAACGGAAAGGGGTACATGGTGGGGCGACTCACGTAGTACGAGATGACATTGATACCATTCAACTGAGCGAACGCTTGGGATGACATGGCAATCAAGAGGCGCCTCCTGTACCTATTCCACATCTCGGTGTAGGATCGCTCGCCTTCCGCGCGCATAATGAGGACGTTACCCTTGATTTCGCGGAACTCGTCCCTTGCACGCTCGTTGTGAATATCACCACCGCCATGAAGGTTTGCCAAGACAATCATCCCTTCCTCATCATGGTCGTTATCAAGTAGCCACCTACGGATGATCCATTAGTCACGAGGGAAAAAAGGGAAATGGCGCTTATTGTTACCTTGGGGATTCGGAGATGACAAGGGAGCCAACCGCGAGCAAGGTGCCCATAATACATTGCATAAAAAGCGGGAGCCTCCAGGAGTAGTTACTCTCGATAAAACTGCAAAAGTAGTCTACCCAGACACTCGACGCATATCCCACGATGTTGCCCGTGAATTCGATACATGCAAGCTGACCCCGATTGTGTGGGGGGGAGATTTCAGACTGATAAACCGGAACGATGGTTGAAAGTGCACCAACACCAACACCAGCAATGATACGGCCAAAGATTAGAGATCCCATTCCAGTAGTAAAAGTTTGTAGAGCACCTCCAGTAACAAAGATAATAGCTCCATATAAAATAGTTTTTCGCCTTCCAATGATATCCCCGACTCGGCCTACAATTAGGGACGATACAAACGCTCCGACTTCCAGGATAGCCACCATAGTCCCTATCTGGGCTCTGGTGGGCTGATTGAAATAATCCTTAAAATAGGGGCCACTATGGAAGATGAGATCAGTACTCTGTCCGATAAGGGGTTCAGGCAGCACCTCCGTACGTGATGATCCCGGACATGACCCCTTGGTCGTAGCCGAACAAAAACACCCCCAAACTTACAAAAACACTCGTGAAATATCTACCATAGCGTTAGCTTGCGCATGACAGAGCACACGCTCGGGGGAACGAGAGGATAATTACAGCAGGGGCTTCCCCGTGAGCCCGTGCACGGAGCTGCCATTACGACCGCACATCATGATGTACACTAAAGCTTTCTCTGCTCTCGACACTCTCCTAGGTCCTGGGGTGGGTATGGGGATTTCTATATCTTGTCGACGCTGTCCGTCGGTGTGAGATGACTGTGAGGCTGAAGACCTGCGTCGGTGATGACGCACCCTCCTCGAGCCAGGGCGGCGGTGGGAGAAGCGAGTGCCAGATGACGGGCCACCGAGGCGTGGATCGTCAAGGGTTTGCCGAAGTCTAATGGATAGGGGATCCTCTTCCCCAAGTTGTTCAGCTAAGTCACCGGTATCGCTCCAAGAGAAGCCAGAATCGTCCGAGTCGATGGATGACCGAGGGGAGGAAGAGTGGCCGTGGGGGGGGTTATGATGTGAAGAGGTCGGGGGGGGATGTTCTGTTTGTTGACGATCCGGCGAAGAGGACGGTCGAGGGGCCAGGGGACGGAGGGGTATATCGACCTGGCGCGTGGAAGAAGATGTGGGAGGAATGGTGACGGTGGTGGGGCTGGCGGACAGCCGTGTTCTTCAATCTTTGACGGGTCCAGGACTACTGCAGGCCCACGGCTGCCGGCGGTTGATGTGGGAGGAACGGAGAGCGGATGAAAATGAATTCTGCCTCTGGTGGGCGGGTTCGAGACCTCAGTGTGTGGTGGGTTGAGTAATGCGGAAGGGGGAGGGGGGGAGGGGGGGAGGGGGGGGGGGGTTGTGGAGGGTCGTGGTCAGGTCAAGCACGCTCTGTTGGGTGATGAGAGAGACAGCTGGTTCTTCCAAGGCAAGCACGAGACCCGACCAAGCAGAGTTGCTAGGTCAATGCTCCAGGGGTGAGTGAGTAGTGAGTGATACGGTAGATTAGTGCACAACTGCCCTGACTTTGCCCCCCTCCCGTCATAGTCACAAAACACCGTACGAGTATAAAAAAAAAAAGCCTACAATAGACCCAGGATCAGTCCGATGAATTGCCAAATCTTTGTTTTGTTTTTCTCCATGTTTTTTTCCATGTTTTTTTTTTTTTGTTTTCCTCT